GCCCCGCTCCCCACTGCCCGCTCCCCGCGCCCCGGCCGCTCGGCCCGCGGGCCCTGCCTCCTCCCTAGCTGCTCTGCTGGCCCCGGAGCCGCAGCTCGGTGTCGGCAAGGAAAGGGAAAGGTCAGGAGGTTCGTTTCACACGGTCTTTTAATCGGCTTCGTGAAGCCAGAGAAACTGCGTACAAGAATCCTCAGCACTGCGGATACAACGTCGATGGAGTATGCATGTCGTCTTCGGTAAAAAAGGACACTATAAATAAACACTTGCCGGCCTCCCGGACCCGCGCCCGGGCAGCGGCCTGTGCCCGGTGGCCGGGCCTGCTGCGCTCCGCGGCGGGGCTGGCGTCGCAGACCCAGGCTTGCTCAAATCGAGTCCATGTCATCTCGGGAGGGCGGGGCGCCAGACTTCACGGCGACCACACAAAAAAGGAAAAACAACACAACCGAAAAACCCGAAAAAACAAAAACGAGTCAACAAAACCCACACAACCCCGACAATTTAGAAAAAACACAAACCCATGGCTCATGGTAAAAAAGTAAGATCTGAAGTGCTTTCCAAAACGTCTTTTACAACGCTTAAAAAGACAGCGCTTCCTTAACAGAAAGTCTGGTCACGAGGCCATCGGGGTCGGAAGCAGGCTGGACTAAAAACTGGGGACAGGTGCTCACTGACAGCCTTCAGCGGATCCCCATCTTAATTACAGCCATGGCGGACGGTCTGGACGCCGGGCTTTTACTCGTTGTGTGTAGCTGAGGACAGAAGCGCGACAGTGTCAAGGCACTGGAGCTCGGCTCGCCGCACGCGCGCGGGTGGCCCAGGTCCCACGCACCTGGCCCCCTGTCCTGTGCGGCAGTCGGGAGCTGTGCCCGGGCTGAGTGGCCTAAGCTGCTCTGTGGGCACGGGGCTGGCCAAGCCCAGCCGCGCACGGCTCGGGTGGCCTCCTTGGAGCCAGACTTACCGTAACTGTCGTAGCTGTCTCGGTAGGACCCGCCCGAGCTCCGGTAACCGTAGCTGCCACCCTGACTCCGGCTGCGGAAGGACACACAGACACTGAAGGACACAGGCCCCACACAGGCGCAGCTGGCAGGAGCGGGTTCCTGGGGGCTGCTGGCCCTGCACTCGAGGCCCTGGCACCAGCCGGGTGCTCAGCGGAGAACAAAACAAAACCACCTGCGCCCTCCAGCTGGGGCGGCACCCGCCCTCTGCTCACAGCCTGGGTCCTCTGCTGCCACCGCGGCCGAGCCGTCTCCCGGGCTCCATCTGGCTCACCTGGCATAGTAGTCTCTGGAGCCTCCGTAGCCCCCACTCCGGGACTCAAAGCGGCCACCTCCGTAGCCCCGGTCTCCTCCCCCTGCAGGTGAGGTAACCGTCAGTGAGTTCCCGCAGCGGTCCCACCTCTAACCCAAGGCCCCCGGCACTCACCTCTGGAGAACCCGCGGCCCCGGCTGCGTCCCCCTCGGAAGAAGCCTCGGCCTCCAGCAGAGCCACCTCGGTACCCGCGGGAGCGGTTGTCTGAAGACTTGCCGGCCTGGTCCACTCGGATCTGCCGCCCATCCACAGACTGCCCAACAGAGGGAGGGTCAGCCGTGCCCATGCCACACCAGACCTGTGCAACCCGAACCGGCTGACCTGACCCTCACCTTCCCATTCATAGCCATCATGGCGTCCTTAGCGTCATCAATGTTCTCAAAGGTGACAAAGCCAAAGCCGCGGGATCGCTGGGTCTCCCTGTCCTTTACCACCACCACTGCAAGGGAGAGCCATGAGCTGTGCCGTCTGCCCCAGGGCAGACACCACCACGGTGTTCCCGACCCAAGCCTCACCTTCGGAGATCTGCCCGTACTTGGAGAAGACCTGCTCCAGCGCCTGCTCGTTGGTGTCGAAGCTCAGCCCCCCCACGAAAAGCTTGCCTTCGTCTGACGCCATGGCAGCCTGCACACACACAGTGTTCTGTGCCTTCCCTCCTCAGTCTGAAGTCAGCACACTCAGGACCTCCTTGACAGCCCACGATGGCCTTGGGAGTCCCTGCTGAGGTTTAGTGCCGCAGGCACTGGAAGCTTTAGGGAGCGTCCTGCCGCTTTCCTTCCCTACTTGTGTATGGAAAAGTGACCCTGACCCTCCTGGGGAACCGGTGCTGCATGTGGCAGTTCACACCTGTCGTCCAGCCTCTCCCTGAGACAAAGGACGCCGTGGAGCAACTGGGGAGGCGTCCCCAACGCGCGCTCCCATCACCCCAGCCTTGGGATGTGCAGGCACAAGGATCAGACGTGCACAACCATCTGCGACTACACAGCAGGTCTGATACCGGCCTCGGCGGGCTACATGCTCTGTCTCGAAGCGAACACACGGGGAAGTCCTTCCTGCTTTTGTCATCCCAAACCCACACGGGAGACGGTCGTGTACTGCGGCTGACCGTGAACGGTGGCTCTGTGGCTCAGGACAAGTGACTCGAGCCCCTGTCCTGCAGCGGGCCTCCATTAGGAGCCCAAGGTTTGGATCACCGGGCCACAGAGGCACGCCGGGAACTTCCTCACTTTCCTAGAGGGCGTGTGTGGTTGGGGACACGGGGGACAGTGTCGGCTGGGGGAAGCCTCATCCCTGACACACGCTTCTCGGGCGCGGCCAGGGAGGTGTGACAGTCTCGGGACGCGACCTGGGGGCCACCGAGGGCTGGGGACGTGCTTTGGCTGGGACAGGGGGCGGGCCCGAGAGGCGTGGCTCTGGGGGGCGTGGCTCTGGGGGGCGTGGCACTCGGAGCCATCATTGGCGGGGGACAACCGAGCCCGCTGCCCCATTCCCGGGCCGCTCTGCCTGGGGGGACGGCCCAGGGGCCACACCCGGGACGACACGTGCGGGGAGACCGGGG